GTGTGTGTGTGTGTGTGTGTGTGGTAAACACGACATTATTTTTCTCTGACATTCATTTATTTGTCTTTCCATTTGTTAAGCTTGTAGCATTTAAAGAGTCTGGTTAAGTTCACATGGAGATCATCTAGTTAATGTTTAACAACAACAAAAAGTAATACTATACAGCTATATAACACGTAGACATTCGCTCATGCCTTTTTGTCGAGTACCAAGTCTTGATGGCGGAAGTCCGATCGTCAACACAACGCTTTGAGGTGACGAACGTTCGCACGATAAAACGTGATATTCCATCGCTCCACAGGTTCTTCTCCGACCACACCGAATACTGGATACAAATGAAATGTGTACATAATTCACAATCGTTGTTAGGCAGCAACAGTAAATAGTGAGCATGCAGCGTGTCAGTGGTTTGAGGATTTGCTGTGATAGGTCGATATTTTCGTGAGACTTCACCAACGCTCACCTGCAAATATTTTGGGACGTCGGACTTAAAATCCGAGACGTCTCACACAAAACTTAAAATGCCACCACGTGACTGTAAAAGCCAAATGAGTAGTAACGGACGTTGGCAGTGAAACGAGCAGAGTTACCTTCCACTCGTGTTTATGCTCTTGTGTGAGACGTCTCCGTGGCCGTGACACATTTGAGCTGTGACGTGAGCTGGGTGTTTATCTGTACAGGTTGGGATTCCTTTCTTTTTCGGACGCCACGCTAAAAATAATCTTGAACATATCTCATATGTTCTAAAACGTCCTGACTAGTGAAAGTAAGTGCATGGTTGACACGTTCTACTCTACGTCTAGTTGATGCTACGGCACCATCTACTTAAAATGTCTATGTATGCACATGTGGTTACTTTACATCGCAGAGGTCACAACCACAACAAACTGCTGATACATCGATACTTGCATGTAAATAGATCATTGTACAGAATGAGGAGAGGATCGTCATATGGCATTTTGTTCCCGCAACACCGAGGTGACACTCGGATATAAGCTGCTTTCAGACGCTGCTCTGAGCTCCGGACATTCTCCAGAGGGGGCTGCGGAGCTTCTCCTGCATTTTGCGGAGATTCTCCGGAGTACACGTCTGAAAACAGCTATATGAGCCGAGGGTCCTCAGGTAAAATCTGACCACAGTTACAAGCTATTTCACAATTTTATCACTTTCAGCTGCTGAAAAAGTTTCTCCAAAGTTTGGCTCATGCATGAGTGGAGTCCTGCGGTGGCGTGCTGTGACTCTTCTTGGACACAGAGGAAAAAGATCCTCTGGGTGACACAGCGGACGCATCGCTCTTCAAAACAGCCGAACGAGGGGAAACGGCGTCGTGGGGTGAAATAGTCAGGATGTGACATATCTGCAATATTAGGTGCAAACTCTGCAATTACACTACAAAACAAACCTTGAAAGACGAACAGAAAGTTGTAGAATGAGCTCCTTCACAAAAGTTCCCTAAAAAACAATCTAATCTCTTCGCTCCACCTCAGAGCAGCAGCACTCAGTCATTCCCCGTCTCTCCTACTTTTCCCCTGTGTCTCTCTCCATCTTTTTATTCTTCCAGTTTATTTTTGAACCCATCCATCCTCTCCTCCTCCTTGCATCCATCCCAGAATAGAGGCGTTATTTTTGCCTCCACCTCTACCTCAAGCTCTCTCTCTCTCTCTCTCTCTCTTCCTCCCCTCTCCAGCTACTTTTAGCACTTTCCCCTCTTGTCGCGCTGTTGGAACTTCCTCAGCCGGCGGCCCCACAGGTCCTTCCAGGGGATGAGCAGACTCCCCTTGTCCGCAACCACGCCGCTCTGCCCGGGGGAGTCGTCGTCTGTGCCCAGGAGCAGGTACTTCCTCCCGGGCTTGATCTTGGGGCATTTGCAGGCCACGTCCTTGGCGCGCACCCACAGCAGCTGGTCCCCGCGGCGGATGCGGTGCTCACCTTGTTTGTAGACGGAAATGATGTTGACGGTGAACTTCCACCACTCGCCGGCTTTGTCTCCTTTCAGAACGTGCACTTGAACAGCTGGTGGTGGAGAAGAGAAAGAAACTGGATTAAATCACCTTCACATCATGAAGCAGTGATTCCTAACGAGACGTGTGCTGTACCTCCTGTACCCCACTGTTTGTACTGCAGGGTAACTTTGTCCACACGTTGACTCAATACCTGAACAACACATGCTGTGACTGAGAGTGCTGGCATGTGATCAGAGAAGTCTAAATGCAGTTGTTAGCTCAAAGTAGGGGGGGGAAATTGTTGAAAACGATAGTTAGGTGATAGAGAAATGGTGGAAAGGCTAAATATAAGTGACAGTTTAAATAATGAACATGGATAAACACTTAAAACTTCCAGGAATACATGAGAAAATCTTATATCAGACAAGGCTGAGAATCAGTGACTATGTTTATATAGACACCAATAATTAGACACTGCCTGACCTGAACACCTGGATGTGAACAAGATGGAAAAATAAAAAGGAGTTGCAGCTTTTGCAAAAATTAGAAAGAAAACCCCCGAAATGGTGATTTCGCTGACGTAGTGGAACAGAATCATTTATTAGCAGCTCATGTAAATGATGGAATCAAAATGTTTTATTCTGAATAAGGTAACTAGCGATGCCAACGTCGTATATAAAAGGTCTAATAAAAGCAGCTGTTCAGCCCGAACCCGAGATTGCTCCCCTCATCTCTGACCTTTGACCTTTACTCCCGAACATTCTCCTTATCACTGCAACCGTTGTCATAGCGCTCAAACACAAAGGCTTCAAGTGGAGAATTTTAAGACTCAAGCCCACTTCCCTGCATAAGGCAGAGAATTTGTTTTGTTCGTTTTTTTGGGGGTTTTTTTTGCAGAAAAATGTCTAAAGGAAGAACTTTGCAGAAAATCGTCACATCTGCAAACAGTATAAAATCCTGAGTCGATCATGTACGAGACCGGAGTGCGAACATCTGAGCACCCGCTACCTCAGGCTACTTCATCCTGGACCTGGTAACTATTGGAGCACCACTTGTGGCAGATATTTTAATATGAGGAAATGAGTAAAGCTTCCTCTGCGGAGGCTCCCCTGCGTCGATTCTCTGTCCGACGAAGCCGCTATTACTTCATCACACTGATTCGAACAAGAGGTAAACAGCTCAGCAGCGACGGAGCTAATCTGTACTTGAGGTGAAGTGGGTTTACTCAGGAATGTGCGATTAACTTTCGGGGGGTGTTCACTTGCAATTGTGAAATCTAATCTAATCTGAAGAAGACGGGATTAGATGATGGGAAACACTTGCGATGCCTGGGACAAAATCTTATATTTATCTTCGATGTTTAACCCATTTAATGTTTTTCAGTTCGATAGACACACAGGATCATAAATTGTCAGGTCGTGGAATTGCAAGTGTGATAAAAAAAAAACATCCTGATATGATTTAACTGCTTCCAGACATACACTGAACTACGGATAATCTCCTGATGCCAGATCGCAAACGTCAAAAGCGTAAAAACTCTGAATAATGTCCGAGTGAGAACGTGGCAGGAGAATCTCTGGAGGAAGTGGGCTTGTCGGTGACGTTCCTAACATGCAACGACACAAAGTCAGGACCCCGTCGTGCGGATATTGTCTGGACACATTTTATATTTATCTATTTAACCCCTCATGTATAATTCATTCACATAAATTGTCAGGGCACGGACTTGAAAAGTGTTATAACTCTATTTCCTGCCCAGAGAAAGAGCTTTTGATTCCCATTGTTTGATTCTGATATGCTCGGTACGTTAGCCTTTTCTTCGCCCCTCTGGCTGAACATGATCACCTTCTGCGTCCATCAGTCATCCCGCTCTGCTGCCAAGAACGAGGAGAACCGGAGGAGTGGCGGCGTTTGAGTATGTGTGTCAATGCATGGCGTGAGCAAATTGCACACAATTTCAGAAGAAAGACGGTTTGTTGGGCTGAGGAGAGCGAGCTCTCACAGCCCTGCCATTCATCGCAGCGCTCTCCTTCATCCACACACATAAAGGGTGTGTGAGGAGGGGGGCTTGTGTGCAGGAGGGGAGGGGGGGGGTTCCACTATTTGTCTTCCCAGCCACAGAAAAAGTTCCAGGAGAATCAGGATGTGTTTCCGACCTCATGAGCTATCCGGGTTCTGCTCCCAGAGTTCCATCCAACTCCGCAGCGTGAGAATCCAGCGGAGATAGCGCTCTCCTCTCGGCTGACGGCGTCCGGCCTCAGTCTCTGTGTCGGTGTCTGCCTCGCTTTCTCTCTCAAGTGTGTTCTCAGAGTATTCAAACACACACACACACACACACACACACCTTCTGCCACTCGGTTGGAGCTGAAGTGAGACTGAGCGCCCGGGGGTCAAACAATCTATTAGGAAATGGTGCACGGTGTTTGGTGAGAGCGACGGTGAAAGAGAAGAGATAAGTGTTCGATGATCCTGCTCCTGCACAATGGCTGCCAACTG